TGAAGAAGCGGGCTTTAGTTTTCTTGACACTAGACTTCTTCTCGTGGTGTGCCTTCCTCTTCTTTTTCTTTCCTAAATATATTTCCTCTTTTAGTCTAATTTAAGTAAACCAAGATTATGCCAAAAGGAGATTATTTAGGGAAATATAGATAGAGATTATTATTAACATTTCGAGACATGCAAAACATATAAGTAATTTAAGTTTAACATAATATTAACATGAATTATTAAAACGTTCAAATTTTAAAAATAATTTACGTGAGAGAGGCAATCTTGTCAATTGAATCAGCCTTTTATTAATAAAATAAAATATTTAAAAGATTATCATCTAAATATCATGATAATTCATCGTGTTCCAAATATGCACAGATACTTTTCTTTAGCAAGAAATGCATATATCCTTTTCTTTCTTCTCAAATATTTGGCTATGGCTATGACAAATCCAAACCAATTACCAGCTTAGAGCTACCAAATTGAGGACAAAGGGAATTAGGTCAACTCATTAATGGTTTGGACTAAATTTTACAGCTCACTTTATCTGAAAAATGCAGGGTAGGTACTCCAGCAATATTAAAATCTACTGAATTTTTCTAATACTGACAAAATGTACTAATTTTTTAATTCAAATTGAATTTACAATTGACCCTAAGCTAAAGTTAAATTTTCACCATCACATATCAAACATGAACTTGCAAATTTTGATGAGTACTAGAGTAGGTTGGAAACACAATCTGGCTGTTTAAATAAATGGAGGTGAAATTTTCGTGGTAAGAAGCGTTGGGTGTTAACCAAACCCTTAAATGTAATTTAATTAGTTATAATAAATTCTTGTATATTCTGTTTCTCTTCATGAATTTAACACTTCCTTCACACTTAATCCAAATTAATTATTTGTTGTCTCTACGGTGTGGGGTTAGAATAGCTTATCCAAATCTAATTTTTTAAGAAAAAAGATGGGGTTATAAGAAAAGAGTTGATAGCTAGGGCAGGTGAAACTTGAGCTAGAAAACCCAACTACTCAATTTCTATGAATTTACCTTCCCCAAGTCTGTTTCTTTTTTTTATTTAAGCAAATAGCAGATCCAACTGCACCATTTAAATAATTCTTAGTGGTTTGTGCAGAAGTGGGGGAGCATCCAATGTTTGGAAACTAGAGGTAGATGTGGGTTCAACTTTTTGCTGAGTGGTCACAAATCTAAGATAGATTTGTTCTTATAAACATAGAGATCATAGCTTTCAAGTGGAAATACAAGAAGTAGATGGATGATGATGCTTAACAAGGTAACAAACTCATAGTCTTAATATCTTGGATATCGAATAAGAAGGCAGACTTTGTGGCCAGATTGCTTGTACCTTGGAAATAGTTTCTATGGGATCTGGATCCATCCCATGAATTCTATCAAGGCATTTATGTCTAACAAGCTGATCCATGACAAGAGTTTATTAATATAAACCGATTAGAGAAAGTTGCTAGATGGCTCGTTGAAGGATCTCTAAGCAACAGTCCGGGATCGATCCATGTATTTAGTTAAGGCCATCAGGTCAGCCAGCTGGTCCATGAACAATTTGCAAACATTCACAATGAATGCAGCCAATTGGACAACTAACCTTGACCAACGCATTAAGCAGACCCTTTTGACTTTCAACTATCAGCACTCAAAAGAAAAAAAAAAATCACAAACTCATAAAGCGGCTGTGCTTGCTGTCGTCATCTGGCTGCTTTTACTCATCTTTTTCTCCCTAGCAACATTATAATGGGGAACAATTAGTTCTATAAAAGTTGCAAAATCACGATTACTAAGTTCACTAGCTTCATTTGCATTATTCCAGTACATTGTCATGGAAAACTCTCATAAAAGTTCAAAGCATCCGAAGTAAGGCCCTTGGCTCCAATGGTTAAAGTTTCCATTACAACGCAGAAGAGTACAGAACAAATGGCTTTGGTCGAACCAATGCAGAAGATAAATCAAGCGGGTGGAGCTTCATCTTGACTAGGGACAGAACTGAAACTGCATCTCAGGTGAATATCCAAGGGCGTCAAGGTGTCCAGCCATGGCCTTGTTCATGGGTGGTGGGCCACACCGTAGAATCTGTAGATCCCAATATCAAATTAGAGTTTCTTCTCAGTACTTTTATTTAAAACATTTTTCATGATTTAAGTTGAAAGATACCTAAAGCACATAGGCATATGAGATGAAGAAATAGGTAATATACCTGGATATCAGGTGCCGGTGCAGGGCAGTGGATTTGAATAATTTCCTTTGACACAAAGCCGACACCACCATCCCACACTGCAGGAGGCTGAGGAAATAACCCAATACATAATGTAGTTTTTCAATAAAATGGCTATAAGCAAGGACATGCAGTTTTGTAGAAGGAAGCCAACTGCAGCCTTCAAGCACAAGACTACATACACATGAAAAGAGATGCAGCAATAGAAACTTTCATATATCAAAAATGATGTATATAAGCCACTCTAATGCACATGCAGGTCATCCTACACAACAGGACATTTCAGTAAATCATGTAAGAACACCATTAATTAGTCCAAAAGTCATGATTTCCAACTAAAGTAACACTTATTAGACATTGTTCAAGCAGTTCAAACCACACACCAAGTGCATAACAGATCAGAGGAAATTGTATCTGTCCAGCTAAATGAAGTGACAAACAAGGAATATCACGGATATAAATTCCAAAACCCATTTGCTTCTCAAATAATTTCTCTAACAGGCACCACTATGGTTGTCCTTTCTACATTTGAAAAGTATTTAAAATTCATAAATCTGTTGTCCATGTTCCAGTCAAAGCAGAAAATTTTCTGGCATTATTTTTCTTTATTTTGATAAAGCTTAACAACATTATCCATCATATTTGTATTCGCATTGCTGCTATGCATGAACAAGAGCGAGAAGAAGAATAAAATGGTACTTCAGATTCTGATAAAGCCATTCTGCTCCTAGGCCTTTGACAAGATTTACAGAAAAATGAACAGATGAAATGAAAAAACATGTTAGGAGTTTGCCATGGAATAAGAACGGCAACTTACCTGGTTCAAAACATAGTAGACTTTGAAGCGACCAGGGTACTTGGCAACAAGGCCATCCAATTCTTCCTGCAAATAAATAATTTGTCCCATTTGATCAATCTACATCTTAAAGCATTGCATTCTTAATTCCTATGAACTAGTCACTAACCACCCATGCTTGTATTTCATCCTGTACAAGTAAATCCATAGTAGCCATAATAATCATTGCACATTAAATGTGCAATATTCAACAATAATAACAGTTATTTGAAGAAACTCATAATGTCACTAATGTGATCTCTTATAATGATGATATGGAAATGAAATCCACCACGACATTTGTTATTTGAAAACAAAATAAATTTTCAGTAAGCAAGGGTTTTGGCCAATCTTATGTTTGGATCTTGCTGCACCAGAAAAACAGGTCTTGACTAGTATACAATTGCATTGAGGGCCTCATATAGCTCAGCATTGCCCACACAGGCAGGCTAGTATTCTTTTCTCCATATGGAAAGACAGAGGAAACTTGTCTTAGGTTCGTTATTTTGGACTAGTCAATAAAGTAAGTAGTAGAAAGATTAACAACAAAGAAGTACGAAATCAAAGTACCTTTAAAAGAATGTCCTCATATGTGACATTTGCATAAATAAGGTGTACATTACTTGTGTCTTTCGGGTTCTCCAATATGGCTCTGGCTACCTAACCGAAACAGAAACCAGGGAAAAAAAAAAGAGGTTGACGTATTATATAAACACTTAAACCTTGCAAAAGACTATACTCAAAACATATAGCAAGTCAACATCTCTCAAATATGAACAAATATATTGAAAGAATCATTTTTTGATAAATGGTAACATACTTGGAACATTGGAGTAATGCCAGAGCCTCCAGCAATCATCCCAAATGCCCTAGCTTGACCAGGTTGATACCTGAACCGCCCCTGGAAAAAACAATTTGCAGTACAACAACATAAAGAAATGAGAGCCAAATGTGAATCATAACATCAAACATAATTCAGAAGAGGCAAGAAAGCCAGCTAGGCAGCAAGCCTTCAAATAATGAAGAGGAGCACATGTAAAACAAATGTGATGTTCCTCTTCTATAGGAAATACATTGTATGTTTAGTAAGATTGCATCATGCTCAACAGTAATGAAAGTAACAATTAATTTTTATTGAGATTATCCAATAATTCTGGTTGCAACATGGGCAAAATGGCTACTTGATGAAAAAAAATCATTGTTGCGAAAACCGATAGGAATATTATCCAGCATACTTTTCTATTGACACAACTCCGTGAAACACAACAAAATAGGAACCAAGAACCCTACAGCCAAAAGCACTTTATGCATTTAAAAGAAACCATATACCTTGGGTCCTTTCACAGGAAGGTAATCACCAACACGCATCTCTCTGAAATGGTGTGACATCCTCCCTTGAGGATACATCTATTTACAAGAAAAATTCCATCATAAAGTTAGTAGATTTTAACAGCCAGATACATAAATATCACACTGAAGTCAACTCCAACAGCAAGAATTTTCAGGCAAGTACCTTAATAACTAATTCAAAATAACCAACATCAGAATCCAATGTTGTAGGTGTATATGGTTTAATAACCTCGTCACCTTGGCTATCCTTGCCCCTGATAATGTGAAAAGCATCTAATTTATATATTAGTCCAGTTCACAAGCATTTGGAAAGTATTGACAACTATTAGATTAGGAAGAAATACAAAAAGGATGGATTCAATCAACTGAACCTGCAACTTATATGCTGTCCAATGGGAAGACCCAAAACTGAAGTAGGAGTAGGAAGTGCAAATGCGAACTTTGCCACATTATGGCTCAGCTGCTGTCGTTTGACAAGTTTAAACTCTTTGTAATTCTCAGGATCTAGACAGCCTAGAGGCACAAATGATGATGTGAGCAACTTCATAAGCAAACAACACAATAACAAAACTCAAAGAAAGGAAGAAGTTACTCAAAAGCAGATGCATCTCAGTAAGTTAACTTTTGCAGGTATTAACAAAAGGGAGATTGCCCTTCTAATGTTAGCATTAGCATGGAAAAATCCATTTGGAAAAGAGAATAAATATTTCCAAAATCTCAAATACAATATTTTAAAAAAGGATAGAAACATAAACATTGTACAGTTCTTGCAAAATAAATAATCATGTATTCAAATAAAAAAACTAGAAATCATAAAATAGTTTGAGCTCAACATGATGAAAGAAGAATGAAGCAGGAAAAGAAGGGGGAAATTATGGTACCAAATTCAAGTAGATTCTATAAACTAGACTGCTAGAACCTGAAAATTTGCCTAAATCACAAGATATATGTTTAAACCAACATAGTAGATTGCTCTCTTGTCATATCTGACAATGCAACTTCTCAATCATCATGCGGAACAGTAATCTTCAAAATCTTGCAATAGATAGACTCCAGTTGCTGTTTTTACATTATTTTCATGATAAGTTCTCTTTATTTGGAGAAGAAAAAAAGAAGACTTCCATAAACAGCTATATAGATACAGATATTCCATCCCAGATATCAAGCTGTAAATGTTTTATATGACAGCCATTCACTCCAAACATTTTATTTCAAACTCTACGCAAGAAACAGAGCTCTATACGTATACCATTCTTTAAATGAGTATGGCAAAACATGCAGAAATTTGAATAAACGATGACCAACAGAGAACAATCCTAACAATGACTCAAACAATATAAAGACTTTAACATCCCTGTTTCATCTTCTACTAATTACATTGTAACAACAAACAAGCCAATATCTGTGTCAATAACAAACATACCCAAAAAAAAAAATCATCATCCAACAGGCACAAACACACCTTAACATACAAAGAAATCCAGGATTTGCTACACCCATTACTTAAAATGCAAAGAACAATCAATCAAAAGAAGAAAGAATTAATCTTCGAATAAAAGAGCAGAACTCTAACTGCTAAAAAAAATGCATAATCCCAAATGATGAAAAGTCAAAACCTTTGGATTTCCTAGAGGAAAACAGATAAGCAGCAGCAACGCCAATGGCTAAAACCGCTACAGCTACACCAACAAGAATCTGAACATCCACAGATTGCAAGAATTCCAAATCCATTATCTTAAAACCAGCCACCCCAAAATCTAACCCTACTGATAAAAAGACCCCAGATTTATAAATAAAAAAGAGTGGGTTTTATTTATTCCTTGTTTCAACTTTTGCAGTTTTGGTTTGGTATCGTTCTTGGCAGAGTAGAGAAAATGGTGAAATGGAAAATGTTAGGTGTAGACACACTTCACTTGTCTTTCTAATGGAACCAAGGTGAACGATCTGTTGCACCTACCCCTGCTACAAACTGGGTACTTCCACAGAAGATGATGTGGGACCTAACTATCTTCTCTCTTATACAATTATTTCAGCAAAAAAAAAATTATCTTATATTTTATTTTATTTCTAATAATACTCTCGTATTGTTTACAAATAAATAAATATGTATATATAGATCTTATTTTTGTATACTTTTTGTGTATCAATTTTAGAATTAATTAAATCATTAAACGGCAGCATGAAACTTGTGGGACAGTTGTCAAGTGAAGTTAAAAATTTAATAGAACTTGTTGAATTAATGACTTGATTTATAAAAAAAATTACATAATTTTAATTAGTTTGAATCTTTTATTTTATTTAAAATAATTATGTTTTAAATTTTTATATTGCATTTTATTTGCTTGATACTTTACATCATTTAATTTTTTTGTGATAATACTTAAAGGTATCTTCTAATTTTATTCTTATGTGACTAATTTTCTTCTTATGTGATTTTATTCCCATGTGTTTTATGTAGGAGCAAGCTCAATAAGTTCAAAGGCCTAAAATGAAATATTCAATGAGGCCTTCTTATATTGAAATTAAAAAAATTATTAACTTTTTATTCTTTTAGTTTTTTGAGATGTAAAATTTTTATATTTTTTAAATGGTTAATACAAAATCAACAATTAAAATTTTTAATTCAAATAAATTAAATATCAAATAAAATAAAAAATATATAAGAATATAATATTAATTAAAAATTAAAGTAAAAAAATTTATAAATATTAGAACAATAGTAACCGCAAATGAGGTTTACAACTTTATGAAGATAATAATATAATGGACTTCTTGTGTATTCTTTATAAGAAAATCGAAATTAAAAAAAAAAGGAAGAAAGAACAAATGAGAAAAGAAAAATTTTAAAATAGATATTATATATTGAAAAAATAATAATAGTTTTATATATAACAAAAAAAATAGTTGTTCGAAATAATTACATATGTTGATTGGAAATAAAGGAAATAAATAAAAAAATAATTATTAGAGATAATTAAATACATATTATTGTTAATTAAAAATAATATAATATTTTATAAATTAAAAAATAAAAACATTAAAATTTATTAAATACATAATTAAAAAATAAAAAATAGATAATTTATAACCAGTCAATTGAATTCCAGATTTTGTATTTTAAATGAATTTTTGGAGGGGCATAAATCAAAACAAATATCCATAAAGAAGCATGCTTCATGCGTTAAATATGGTAAAGGCGCTGTACGTGTCTGGTTTTGGAAAAATATCAACGCCGTTTACTTTGCTTTTTTTCAAAGTCATAAATCTCAAGCTTGTAATAAATAATAAATATCCAAAGATTGAATTATTGAATGGTTCAGGAGATTCAGCCTCTCGATGGTTTACTGGAAAAGATTTATCAGAAGGAAGAAACCGAGAAAGTCTTCAGCAAGAGACCAAAATGTCACACTCTGTATTATTTTTCTTTTCTTTAAATTATTTTTTTAATTAATTAAAAAAGAAAATCCCTTAAACCTTGAAACCCAACGGCCAAAAGGCCAACGGTTTTGTCCGCACGTGGTTTCAGAAAAACAGGATCATTAAAAATGGCGAAATTTGGATGGATTTATGGCAAGACCCTTGGAATTTGTCTGATAATGAATGTCAGCAATTAAACAATTTATTCCACATTTTCATTGCTTACATCTTGAACCATTTAGAAACTTGTAGCTTCAGGACGTATGCAAACAATGCTCCAAGATGAAATTATAATCTGATGCCTGTCCAGAATCTGGCTTCGTTGAATTCTTGTTATAAAAAGCATCCCTCAGTTTCCAATTACAATGCTATGAAGA